GCATACATACATAATACATACATAACATACATACATACAGACATACGATACCTACAATACATAACATACATACATTACATACATACATACAGTAACATACCAGACATATCATACATACATACAGCATCGCTCATGCATGCCATGGCATACATACATACATAGAAACATCACTACATAGCATACATACATAGACATGTGCATGCATGCATGCATAATTACCACATGCATGCATGCATGCATGCAGCTATCATCATGACATACATACATACATGCTACATACATAATAACTACATCATACAGATACATAGCATCACACCACACCCTGCGGAACACACACACCACACACACAACACGACGCTGGCGCGCGTCACGCACGCGCACGCGCACGCAGAGGCACAACACCACAACACACACAACACAACACACAACACACAACGCCACACGACACACACGCACCAAAACGCACGCGCTGCGCCGCACGCACGCCGCACGCACGCGCGCGCCGCACACCACAACACACACGCCCACACGACGCACACACACGCACACCACGCAACACTCACGCGATGAACTTTGATAAATAGCCGTGCAATGGGAAGTGGAGCTTTTACTTTATTTGATGGAATCAGTTCGTTCGTCCAGTGCAGGTTAATTTGCTGTCCGGATAGTGTAATTTTCGCGTATGCGAATATTGAGGAACTGGGCCTTCGTCAGAAAAGCAGGCGAGCAAACACACAGCAAACCGGAGATCATTACGAACGTTGGGATTCCTTGGCCTAAGGTACAGGCACTACAACAGAACTCGAGAAATTTACAACATACGAAGATTTTCAAAGCGGTTGTGCTACTATTACTACTAGTACTCTGGCTAGCTGTTGCTACCAGCGAAAATGGCCAGCGTAGACGCAGTTTTCGGCGTTCAGTCTCAAAACGACGCGGCCAAGTTTTTGTTGTTTTACGGCGAACTGTTGGTGAGATCGACCCGCAGATATCTCTCTCACTCCCTCTCTCCCTCTCTTCTCTCTCTCATCTCCTCCTACCTCTCTCTCTCTCTCTCTCTCTCTCTTTCTCTCTCTCTCGCTCTCTCTCTCTACGCTCTTTTCTTCTTTCTCTTTCTCATTTCTCTCTCTCCCCCTCCCTCTCTCTCCCACTCTCTCTCTCTCCCTCGCTCTCTCTCTCTCGCTCTCTCCCCCTCTCCCCACCTTTCTCCTTCTTTCTCTCTCTTTCTTCCTCACTCTCCCCATCTCTCTTCCCCCTCTCTCTCTCGTTCTCTCCCTTTCTCTTGCTCTCTCTCTCCCTTTTTCACTCTCTCCCTCTCTCCCTCGCCCTCTCTCGCTCCCTCGATCCCTCCCCCATCTCTTCTCCTTCTCTCTCTCTCTCTCTTCTCTCTCTCCTCTCTCTCCCTCTCTCCCTCGCTCTCTCTCTCTCTCCACTCTCTCCTCCTTTCTCCTTCTCTCTCTCGCTCCCCTTCTCTCTTTCACTCTCTCCCTCTCTCCCTCGGTCTCTCTCTCTCTCTCTCTCTCTCTCTCATCTCTCCCTTTTCTCTTTCTTCTCTCTCTCTCTTCTCTCCCTCCTTTCCCTCACCCATCTCCTCTATTTCCTTCTCCCTCTCTCTCTCTCCCTCTTTCTAGCGCTCGCTGTCTCCACCCTCTCTCTCCGCTCCGTCTCGTCATCGTTTCCTCTCCTTCACCGCATATTTATTTTCAGTAATTTACCAATTCTTCGCGGCATTCATTCCAGCGCTGTGAACTCGGCGATGCGAGGGTTGCACTGTGATAGTATCTGCGATCGAGAGTATCTGGTCATCTGATATAGAACGCGCGGCACGTTCATGTTATCTAAATTACACACGAGGTTTTACTACGTTACCCGGCCTTTCACGCTTCGCTTACCCTTACTCTCTCTCTCCTCTCTCTCTCTTCTTTCCTCCTCTCTCTCTCTGTCTCTCTCTCTCTCTCACTCGCTCTTCTCACTCGCATTGTTTACTTGTCTGCTACGCTTTCTGTTACTCCAGTTTCTCCACTCCCCCACTTTCCAGTTCATTTCGCTCTTCCTATTCCTCTCTCCCCCTCGCGACCTCTGAAACGCTCACGTGGGTGTGCTCGCAAACGAGAGAGAAAAGCTAGTAAGACGTAGGAAGGACGTAGAGCTAGCAGCGCGCGAAGGCGGCGGCGTCTGCCGTGCTTAGCGCGCGCGGCGGCTCACTGATACGCCCACCGGTGGGCGCGTATCTTCTCCCCTCTCTCCCTCTCTCCCTCGGTCTCTCTCTCTCTCTCTCTCTCTCTCTCTCCCATCTCTCCCTTTCTTCTTCTTCTCTCTCTCTCTCTCTCTCCCTCCCTTTCCCTCACCATCTCTCTATTTCTCTCTCTCCCTCTCTCTCTCTCCCTCTCTCTCTAGCGCTCGCTGTCTCCCCACCCTCTCTCTCCGCTCCCCTCTCGTCATCGTTTTCTCTCCTCACCTGCATATTTATTTTCAGTAATTTACAATCTTCGCCGCCATT